TTTTTTTTTTTGTGAAAAAATGCCTCTTGTTACTACCATTTTCCCGATCACCTTGCATTTTCAGCAACAAGGGGCATGTTGCTCAAAGTGCCCCTTGTTTTTTTTTTTTTTTTTTTTTTTTGATAAAAATGAGAGTTATCATAAAAAGCCAACGTCGAGTCCTAGGGTAGCCAACCCCTACAGCATTAGCCAAACATAAAACTTCAACATCAGCAGGACAAATATAGAAAATAACAAAATCAGGAACATGGGCGCCCTTCTTTACCATGGTATCAGCAGCCATGTTGCTCTCTCTGAAGACATGTCTCAGACGTACTTAGGGAATCATATTCAGCAGGGCCCTGCAGTCCATAATAAGGGTGCTATGAGGATGGTGAAGACTAGTAGCAGTAGAAAGTAAGTGAAAAGCCACATAGCAATCTGTTTCAACAATAATAGAATTAAAGTGCAAGTTGATAGCAGTCTGGAGGCCATCTCTTATGGCCCATAATTCTGTTACTAAGGCAATGGTATGTCCAATGTTCTGGGTATAACCAGGGATCCACATGCCATGAGAATCGCAAAACAAACCTCCACAACTACCCATACCCGGATTGCCCATAACTGAGCCATCTGTATTGAATTTAATCCAACCATGGGGGGGAGGTTCCCAAGAGATTAATCGGGGTTGTTTAATACTACAACCGGGAGAAGGTGGCTGGGAGGCCCAGAACTCAACAGCACAATTCACAACCAAATCAATTGTAGCTTGCACATTCACAACCAAATCAATTGTAGCTTGCACATTCACTTGGTTCTCACGATATAGAATATTATTTCATTGATTCCAAATTATCCATAAAGTAAAACAAAAAATAACAAACCAAGGAATATGGTGGATGGAACTAGGAGTCTCTTTTCCAGTTTGGAGTTTAAGCCAAACTCTAAAGTCCATCCTAACCTGATCCATATCAAGACTTCCTGGAAGCAGCCTATTAAGAACCGTAACTGCAGGAGTACAGCCTCTGAAAATATGATCTAAGGTTTCAACTTGATTACTGCACACCTAGCAAATAGGGTCTTGCACAATAGCAAGGGAATGGAGAAAATCCATAGATTTAATTCTACCATGGACAAGAAGCCAGATAAAGTTTTTAATTTTTGGCAGTGTGGGAATTTTTCATATCCACTCCCAATCGCTTGACGACACGCACTACTAAAATTTTATCTTTTACCAACAATAAATCAGCAATATGAGATTGTTTGTTGCTGAAAATAGGTATCAGCAACAAACCCCATGTTGCTGAAAGTGCTACAGTACAAAAATGTACATCCCACCCCTTGAAATTCTGCTCCACTTTCAGCAACATACTCCATCTTGCTAATATTTTCCGGTGAATTCTTTCCCATTCAATTGAGCTCCACTTTTCAGTAACGTGTTCCTTGTTACTGATATTCACTTGCTGAAAGTGCCCCTTTTTTTTGGTAAAATATTTTTTTTTTTGTGAAAAAATGCCTCTTGTTACTACCATTTTCCCGATCACCTTGCATTTTCA